AGGAGGAGGAGGACGAGGAGGAGGAGGAAAGGGATGGAGAGCCGGAGAAGGAAGAGGGAGGAGGGAGGAGGGAGAAGAGACAAGGAGGAGGAGGACGACGAAGAGGAGGACGACGAGGATGAGGGAGGGTTAAGAATAGAGATGTACAGGTGGATGTAGTAGATGATGGTCTTTTTCACGAAAGCGGGTGAAGGCGGATCAAACGAGAAATAAGGCGGGCTCGGAGTCTGGCCAGACCCTGGGCCCCTGGGCCAAAAACGGCGGCGGAGCAGGAACATTGAAGGCAAGCGACGGAGGCAATGCGAGGGGGGCAAAGAGGCACGGTACCATGTTCAGTCTGGCGCTCAAACGAGCAACCGTTGTGCGTGTGCCTCGCCGGTTCAGGTGTGCAAACCGCATCCGAGCCAGCGAAGCACAAGGGTATGCTAAGCTGGGGAGACCGTCTGCTGAGGTGTAGTCACGGACAGCTTGGTCGACGTGGGGGAGGGCTTTTTAGCATTGGGGAGAGGGCTATTTCTAACAAAATGGTTAAAGATGGGACGGGGAGGAAGAAGCTTCAGAAAAAAACGGTTTCTGTGGAAGGTGGCAACGGCACGTACATCAAACATCGACAACCTTCGAGGCCGTGCGTGCATGAAGGAGAAACGCAAATTATTATTATGTGGGCAGACGCCATCTATCACGTATGGCTGTGACGTGGTAGGCCTGTCTCCAAGAGATATTCGTCTGCTTCGGACCCTGGGCGCCAAAGCTTTGGGTTTGTGCTCCTGGAGCTCAGGTGGATTTGATGCAGGCCCTGAGCCTGCAAAAGGACCCCATTGGTCCATGCTTGTGAGGTCCAGGCCCGATACGCCAAAGAATGGTGCCTGGCGTGCCTGGCTGCGGATGCAGACCGCATTGCGCCCGACAACCTTTCCCACAAGAAACTGCGCAGCACCTCTAGGACCAGCCTCCAACAGCTTGACGACGAGGTATCGCGAGGCCAGAGGAGGCGAGGCACCAACCCAAATGCGAACGCACTTCTGTGGACCAACGTGGCAAGCTGGGAGTGGACCAACCCGGCAGAGTTTCACGCACGCGATGGCCGACAGTATTCCACCACCATGGTTTCCACGAAGGTCGGGAACATGTTGTTCCAGGAACTCAGGGAATCTCTTTTGGATGTGACGGTCCAGAATGTAATCTTGAGGCTTATAGGGACCAGGACGGGGCACTCAGGATCAGGCAATCGGGACTCTGGCTCCCCCCTCCCCAGCAATACGTGAACTCATCCAAGGAACTCTTTCCCGCAGAAGCAGCTGGTACGGAGAGTCGTTTGCCGTGGTCACGTGACGGGGGCTACACTGCACAGATGGTGGTACAGACTCGAACCGTTGTGCCCCCACGATAGGGAGGTGGACACGACACACCACAGAGTTTGTAAGTGCCCGTTTGGCGAACCAGGCAGTACCGATTGCGACCCAGAAAGGTTGGCCGCAGGCGTGAAAACTGACTTACACGACCCGTTGTTCGATCATCTGTGGATCGAATGCCCTGTCTGAAACCCACTCCCGCCTCTAGATATTGAGATCACTTGTTTTGCCAGAGAATTCAATCCCATCCCCGCGTTCAATTGCACTGGCTCTGCCTTCCTGTTCGTCGATGATTCGAGCCTTACCCTAGGGAGAAAAATCTGGCCAGAGGCGGGAGGGCGGTGGTGGAGGTCAACGAGGAAGGGAAAATGTTTCGTGGTGTCTGAATGCCGCTTCCCAGGGACATTCCGCAGACGGCTGCCATGGCCGAACACATTGGACTCCTGGAATATGTGGTCCATCTCGAAGGCGAGGGTAACTCCCACCTGTATGCTGATTGTGCCGCCCTCATCTTAGGAGCCAGCAACTTCAAGGCGTCATCAGGACCGCCCAACGTTTTCGGCGGCCTGAGGAGGATTTTGAAGAAGGCCTTTCGTGGAAATGAACGCGAGTGGACGATCTGAAGGCAAAAGCTCATCTCCTCGACCATCCTGAACAGGTGCTTGTTCATCATCAAGCGCTGTGGAAAGGTGCGGGCAATATATGGGTTGATGATGCTGCACAGTGGCTGCTAGTGGTGTAAAAATGCAGGCGATTTTGGAATTTGCATGGCGTTAGCTAGTCTCTGGTTACCAGTGTGTACGGTTTTTGTTCCAACTCCTGGCCCATGGCCCCCCACCCAAAAGATGCATTGGGAGAAAGGTCATATTTCTTAGGTCCTCAAGCTCCCTGACGGGCCTAGTGGACCCCAGGAACGCCACAGCTAGCTGTGGACGGGCACCCGGTGGAAGTGCACCAGGTGCGCAAGAGCGCTCAGATCCCCGGAGCTGAGCGGGCCACGCGCTCTGAACCACGCCCCCGCCCTCCTCCGCCTCCTCGCCCCCGCTCCCCTCTGTCCCTCCCCGCCGTCTCCTCGTGGCCGGCCACGTCCGCACGGGCATCGCCGCTGTCTGGAGCAGCCAGTGCGGGCGATGCTCCAAGGGAGCGCACCCACAAGGATTAGGTGAACCCTGCAGGTCGACGAGCAGACAGCAACTCGGACCTCTTGGGAGAAGTGAGCTGCCATGGCCGCGCGGGCGGGCTGGCCTCCTCCTCCAATTGGTCGTCAGAACGCCCACCACGGCATGGTGGTCGCTCTTTCCTGTGGTCCGGGACCTGCTTCAATGTTCATTATTTACCATTTTCCTTTTTGACCCCCACGGGCTCTTTCGGCCCCCAGTTGACCCTCTGCGTTGGTGGATGCCTGGAGACGTCCCAATCAAGGAGGGAGGAGGGCCAAGGGAGGAGGGGGGCGGAGGAAGGGAAAGAGGGAGGAGGAAGAAGAAGAAGAAGAACAACTGCAACAAGAATAAGAAGAAAAGCCCCTCGAGAGGGGGAGTGCAACGGCACTAAAGCGGCTCAGAAGAGCACCAGCACGAGGAAGAGCATCATGACGCAGTCACCGAGGGGGGCCGCGTTGAGGGAGAGGGCGGCCCGACCAGCTACGCTGGCAAGGCATTATCGCCCTCCCCCCGCTCCTCCGCGCCACCGGCCGGCGCCCTCCGCGCACAGCATGGCGATGGCAGCGATGCGGGTCGCGTCCGCGCCGAGCATGAGCGCCTCCGCGATCGCGGCCACCATCTCTGCGCCCGCAGGCGACGCCGCCAGCAGCTCGGCAGGCGGGCGAGAGCGCGCGCCGCCCCCGCCCGTGGCGCTCTGCGGGCGGTCACGCGGCCGCCGAACGGTCGGCAGCTCGTCGGCCCAGTCGTCGGGAGCCAGGTCCGGAGGCCCCTCCTCCGGAGCCCCTCCCGCGGCACGGTCGTTCTTCATCACGACGTCCTCCTGCTCAGCTTTGCCGACGCTCCGCTTGCCGCCGCCGCCGCCGCCGAGGGGCAGCAGGTGGCAGGGCTCCAGCCGCCGCATCCAGCGCGGGCGAAGGTTGCTTGGCCAGGAGGGCCACCGCGACCCTGACCATGCCCTCGGCTGCACGGAGGAGGCGGCGCGCCTCGACCATGTCCGTGCAGCCCGTGGTGATCCCTGCCGCCGAGTGCACTGCCAGCAGCGCGCCGCGCGCAACCTCCAGCGCCGCGGGGCGGGCTCCATCGCGAGACGTCGGAGGCATCGGAAAAGCCGCGGGAGGACGAGCGACCCAGCAAGCGAAACGTGAGCCAAGATGCCGACTAAGAGGGAGGGAGGAGGGAGGGAGGGAGGGGGGAGGAGGGATGGGGCGGCGGCAGCGAAGGCCAAAGCGAAGGCGGCAGCGGCCGCGGCGGCGACGACGGCGGTGAGCAACGAAGAGCGAGCTATCTTGAAATCATTGTTGTTGTCACTGCTTGCACCTTCCCGGAAGGAGAGACGGAGGGAGGAGGGACAAGCTAGGTGCGCTCGCGCAATGTCTGACATCCGACCCTCCCACCCATCCATTCCCATCACGCTGATTGCTTCTCATGCGCAATCGGAAAAATGGAGGAGGAGGAGGAGGAGGAAGAATGAGGACGAGGACGAACAGCAGCGGCAGGAGCTGGAGTGGAAGAAGCGGGAGGAGCAGGAGGACCGGTGACCACGGGAATGCGGGGAAGGGGAAATGAGTGGGGCAACAACACTGAAAAAGAACCCGGACCCAAAAAAGTGGCCCGCGCTGGGGAGAGCGCCAGTCTGAACGACGGGAGCAAAGCGCCGATCCGAAAATGAGGCACACGCTGCAGCGGGAGCATTATGATACAGCGACTACAACCGGATTGTACAAACGAACATAAGAAACAAACAACTGTTGACTTCATGTGCGAAAGCAATACGCGGAGAGGGTCGAACATATTCCAGACAGGGTCAGGGGAGACAGGAGAGTAGTATTGTATTCATCATGTGCAAGATGATGTCTGCTTGTAGAGGGATGAGGGAAGAGTGAGGAGCGAGGGGCGGCGGCGGCGAGGGCGGCGACGACGACGGCGAGCAACGAAGAGCGAACAGTATGAAAAGCATTGTTATTGTTGCTGTTGCTGTTGCTGTTGCTGTTGTTGTTGTTGGCTTTGTCTGCCCTTTGTCAGCCTCGGGAGGCCTCCAGAGGCCACTGGAACCTCCAGGGATCCCCTGGAACTGGCGACCTTTTCGCCCGCGGCGACGGCGACGACGCCGACGGACGACGGCGGCGGCGGCGTCTGCGCAAAGTGGCGGGTGCCAGAGGGCACCGACGCGCGCGCCCGCTGCCTCCCGACCCTGACCCCTGGCGGACTGGTGCTTCCGTCCCGGCACTCCCGCTCCCCCCCCCCCCTTTCCGCCCCCGCGCGGGCCCGCCGAGAGGGTCCACGAGCTCGTGACCTCGTGGCCAACCCGCCACCCTTCGCCGCAGCTCCCGCGAGGGCCGCCGTGTGGGGTCGCCGAGGAGGGCTGACGAAGGCCGCTGGAAGCCACCGGGAGCTGCCGAGGGCCGCCGAGGGGCGCCGAGGGCCGCTGGGCGGGCGGCGAGGGCCGCCGAGGGCCACCGAGGGCCGCCGAGGCCGCCGAGGGCGTCCGCGAGCCGCGGCCGCGCCACCCAGCGGGCCTCGCTGCTCCACCAGCGGGGCGCGCGGCTGGCCGCTGGTGTCGCCCTCTCCGCGGTCGGCGAGGCGCTCCTGGCGGCCGGATCGGCCGACGGACAGGTGCGATGATGGGGGAACGAAGAATGGCATAAACACAATAGCTCGGAGGTCCGCGCGGATGTCTCGGGTCCGCGCTGGAGCCCCGAGTTGTTTGTATGTTTTCTGCCATTCTTTGTTCCCCGAAAATCCGATGATCCTCAGGACGTGTGTCAGCGGCAACGTGCCTTTGTCTTGGAGTGCCATGCGGGACCTGCTCTAGGAAAGGAGCATGCCGTAGGCGGATCTCCCAATCTCCGACCTTGCACTACGTCGAACGCAACGGCCGCGTCGTCCATAGAAATATCCACTCCGAGCGAATCCAAAAAAGCAACGACGCCCAGTGTTACGCGTGTGGCTTGAAACTGGAAGGGTATTTGGCAAAGGCCCGGGATATAGCCCTTCTGGAAGCACGTCGACTTTGCCCTCCCATATTTGTCCACGGCAACCCTTCATTACAAGCGGTAAAATGCCGACACGGGCTGCGTCCTATCCCCGCGGCTGGACGAAGCTAACACACAGTGGGCTACACGTCCTGAGAATCATCGACAAACATGGCGGGCCTACTTCGCGACGTCTGGCCAAACATGACAAAGACGCGCGGTAAGGACGCAAGGGCCCTGAACACGACGGTAGCACTCGTTTTCCTGTGGGCACAACTTGCGTAAGCTCCACAAGTTACATGACTGAGCCAAAAGAGTGTCGGTAACGACGGCCGCTCGACATTCACATATAATTAAGCCTCTCACCCAGTCGCAACCGCATGTTCTAACACCCCCTCCTCATCGTCCTGCTCCTCCTCCTCCTCGTCATCGTCCTCGTCCTCCTCCTCCTTTCCTGCTCCTCCTCTTTTTCCCCATATGCCATCATCCTCGGTCGATCGGCAGGTCGGGGCGCAAGGTCGATGTTTCTCCCTCCAACTCCTCCTCCTCCTCCTCTTCTTTCTCTTCTTATCAGCATTATTATTAATAATATTGTTACTAGTATTCGTGTTGCTCGCATTTGTCTTATTCGTATCAATATATTATTGTCATATGATTAGTCGTAATAGTTTTTGCATTAGGAATATTAGTATTAATAGTCTGCTTGATATTCCTATGTTTCGTATGGTTATCATGCGACGTCTTCTTAGTATTCGTATTGTTTGCCTTCTTACTATCATTGTTCGTACCATTCGTCTTCTTATGATTATTAGGAACATCAGTATTATCATTCGTACTGTCAGCATTCTTAATACTAATAGTATTACTCTGACTAACCTTAGTATTAGTACTATACATATGTTTACTCCTCTCCTGCTTCCTATTAGGGGTATTATTACGATTCCCCCCCTCCTCCCGGAAGGCCCCGCAAGGCTCCGAGGCCTGTGGCGGCCGCTCGGCACGATTCGGTTAGCCTCAGGAGCGCTCTCGGCGAGGCGCGGCTGGTGGCGAGCCTCCCGGGACAGGAAAGCCGCGGAGAACCGGCGACAACGTCCGAAGAAACATCCAGCCTCGGCCCTTCCACCACCACCCCAGAGCGCTTTCGGCGAAGCGCAGCTGGCGGAAAACATCCCATGGCTGGAAGACAGAGAAGAACCGACGACAGCGTCCTCGACCCTGGGGTCGAAGAAGAGGGTCAAGGAGGAGGGTCGGGAGGTGTGTCGAGGGGGAGGGTCGAAGAGGGTCGAGGAGAGTCGAGGAGGCGAAGGATCCTCGAGGAGGAGGGCCGAGGAGGGTCGGAGAGCGTCGAGGGGGAGGGCCGGGAAGAAGGGTCGAGGAGGGTCAGGGAGGGTCGAGGGTCGACGAGGATCGAGGAAGAGGGAGCAGGGAGGCGGGGCGAAGGTCCAAGACGTCCGCCCCCGGGAGAGGCGGCACCCTCTCCTGGGGCGCGCGGTGCCACTGGCAGACGTGGCAGCTCTGGCAGCTGGCCCCATCGCGGCAGCCCGCCTCGGCGCGGGCCGTTCGAGGAGGAGGAGGAGGAGGAGGAGGAGGAGGAGGAGGAGGACAGAGGAGGACAGAGGAGGAGGACAGAGGAGGAGGAGGACAGAGGAGGAGGAGGAGGAGGAGGAGGAGGAGGACGGGGGAGGAGGAGGGGGAAGGACGGAAGAGGACGACGGAGGAGGACAGAGGAGGGCGGAGGAGGACAGCAGAACGGACGCAAAGACGGGGGAGCAGCAGCAGCAGCAGCAGCAGCAGCAGCAGCAGGAGGGGGCGCAGCAAGACACACCGAGGAGGAAGATGGCCGAGCGGCGCCCAGCGCGGCCTTCACAGGCCACTCAGGCCCGCGATATCTACACCAACTCTCATCGCGACCGACACTGGCTGAGACAAACCGACACATCCACGACTACGACATCGCGGGACGGCTCTACATCGGGAACACACGCAGCCACCCCGCGGGCCTGCGGGGCTCGCGCCGCGAGCTCCGCGGGTCAGCGCTCGCTGGCCGGCCGCCTTCCGGCCCTCTGGCTCCAGCCCCGCCCTGCCGCCCGGCACCCAGGTCGTGCTCTCCGACGACGTCGGCGAGTGCGAGGCGTGCCGAGGGCGGCGGGGCCACGGGGGGCGTTCAACCGGACCCCCTCGAGTCATGGAAGAAAATCCCGACGGGAGGTTTTTCCACGCTTTCGGCCTCTGGGGGGCCCTACCAGGCCGGAGGCCTTTGTTGACGATCCCGAGGCCGCCTCGGGACGGTCAACAGAACGACTCAGGATGAGAAACTGGTCCTGGAGAAGGGGTCCAGACCTCTGGGGGTCGACGTCATGAAAAAATCTGTTCAGGTCCATCTCGGACAAGGCGCTACCGCTGATCGACCCTGCTCCATGCGAGAGGGGATTTAGCAGGAGAGCAACTCCGAAGGACGGCAGACGACATCCACGGTTCGATCGACACTCAATGTGACAGAGCCGATCGCTGAAGTCCTGAGACGCACCTCCCTACCACGACTTGTTACCCAATTCCCAAACCTACGAGAACCAGAATTGCAATTCCACCCAGCTGCTATCATGGCATTGGAACTTGCACCACCACGACAAACGGGAAGAATCAAGCGAAATCACATCTACACCAAAGAAACGCACTGAACCGTCTCAACCAGGGACGCATTGACTGTCGCAATCACCACCAAGGATGAATAAGGCTTCGTTCGCCTTGGCACAGAAGCAGCCAAAACTTCAAATGCAACCTTTTACTGGCGACTACGGCAAAACTACGTCAACTACGTCAGAATTGGCAGCTCCCGTCTGGACCTACGCATGGACCCACGCGCGGAAAGATAAAATAGGATCACCCTACGGGTTATAAGGAGTTTTGGGGGGGGAAGGGAGAGGCGGTCGATTTGCGATGGCTTTGGATTCCGCGGTGGTTTCTTCAACTGTCCTTGTCGCGCACATCTGCCTATATATATATATATACATATATATATACGTTTATGCATCGATCTATGTTGTAAAAATATGTACACCTACATTTTTGTGTATACACGTCTACTTATATGTATAGATGTGGATATGCCGACATATCAATATAAACAAGTAAATACTTATTTATAGATATGAGAATATGTATATATATATATATATATATATATACACATATGTCTCTAAATATCGATCCATCTATCTAGTGGTGTTGGTGATGATGGTGAGTGGTCGTGGTGGTGAGAGCACTGATAGTGGTGGCAATTTGAGACAACCATCGGGACAACCATCGGGATAACCACCAGGACACCCATCGGGACAACCATCGGGATAACCATCGGGACAACCATCGGCACAGCCATCGGCACAGCCATCGGGACACCTATCGGGAGAACCATCGGCAGAACCATCGGACGAACCATCGGGACAACCATCGGCACAGCCATCGGCACAGCCATCGGGACACCTATCGGGAGAACCATCGGCAGAACCATCGGACGAACCATCGGGACAACCATCGGCACAGCCATCGGCACAGCCATCGGGACACCTATCGGGAGAACCATCGGCAGAACCATCGGACGAACCATCGGGACAACCATCGGAAGAACCATCGGGACACCGATCGGGAGAACCATCGAGAGAACCATCGGGACAACCATCGGACGAACAATCGGGACAACCATCGGAAGAACCATCGGGACACCCATCGGGAGAACCATCTGGATAACCATCGGGACAACCATCGGGACGCCCATCGGGAGAACCATCGGACGAACCATCGGACGAACCATCGGGACAACCATCGGGACAACCAAGGGCCGCACCCGCCCCGGGGGGGGGGGCCCTTTGGGCTCCATGCGGCCTCCACCAGTGCAGGAAGTCGCGCAGCCTAGCCTCGCCCGCACGCACGACACGAACCGAAACCGAAACTAGTTTCCCGATTGGTCACTTCCGTTCACACCCCCCAACCTCCGACATACGGCAATGCCCCAGCAAATGTCCACACGGACTCCAAGGTGGCAAAAGATCTTGCTGAAGGACTACGCAGAGCACGAAACAACCATGACTGATCAGCCACAGCCAAGCAACTGCACGACCTTGCAGTCACATCAACCGAACTCTGCACCGACCACGTCTACGCCCACGCAGGCCAACCGTGGAATGAGCTTGCAAACTCAGTCGCCACTACTACTACTACTACTACTACTACTACTGCTGCGGCTGCTGCTGCTACTACTACTACTACTACTACTACTACTACTACTTCTACTACTACTACTACTACTACTACCACCACCACCACTACCACCACTACTACTACTACTACTACTACTACTACTACTACTACTACGACTACGACTACGACTACGACTACGACTACGACTACTACTAAAACTACTACTAGTACTAAAACTAGTACTACTACTACTACTACTACTACTACTACTACTACTACTACTACTACTACTACTACTACTACTACTCGGACACGTGCACCACATCACCACGGCTCAACCGCCTTGGGATGAGCGTCCTCGTGGCTGCCTCATTTCCAATATATAGCGAGCACCTCTTCTGGGTGAAATGGCGGGTCTGACGTGCATGCAGCGGCGGGCGCTTATCCGAGGGCAACTGGCCCCTACGGCCCAGAGTAAAGCGACAGCGGCGGCACAGCAGCACACGGGGCGACCCCAGCACCGCCATCGAGGCCAACGAGCGCAAGCAGGCGCGAGAAGAGGCCAGGATGGCAAGCCAAAATGGCTAGGCGCACAGTTGACCGTGCGAAGAGCGAAGAACTACAGGGTCATTGAGAGTGGCAGGCTCGGAATCTTAACACAGAAACTCACGTAGCCCCCCCGAGAGCTCAGAAGTAAACAACGCTGGGGGCCTGCAGAGTCTCAGCGCCCAGGCGGACTGGCCTGTCCCCTGCGCAATGGCTGCGAAGACCTGCGACGGCAGCGCCCGCGCCTCTCCCCCGAGGTCACCACTACCGCCAGCCTGCCCTGGGGGCCCAAAGATCTGGCGCTCGAGATCCTCACCGAGGGCCACGTTCAGGACGGCGGCATTGGGGATCTGCTGCGGGAGCGGGCCAGCCGGCGGCGGCGGCACCGCAGGGGGCGCCGTCAGCGGCGGCGGCGGCGGGACCATGATGGCCGCCTGCGGGGCTCCAGCAGGCGGCGGCGGCGGGACCTGGCTGCCGCGGGCCGAGCCAGCGGGGGGGCACTGGCGGCGCGGACGGGAGTGGCACGCGGGGCGACCCCGGTACCACCCCCGCCGCCCGTGAGGCTGCCCTCCCGGAGGTTGTGGCGGCGCTCATAGGTCTCCAGTTCCGCGTGCGCGGCCGCCAGGCGCTCCTTCTTGGCCTTCTTCCGCTGGTTCTTGCTGTAGCCCGCCCAGGCAGGGTCGTTCAGCCCCCAGGCAACCTGCGAGTACAAGTCGGACCACTCGAACTCAGGCAGGTCGTCCCAGGAGAGCCCGTCCATTAGCACGTAGTGGCCCTCCCACTGCGGCTGCAGCGGAGCGTAGCGCTTAAAGACGGTGCCCACCGCCAGCGGCTCGACCTTGGGCAGGTGCTTCAGGAGGTCCACAGCGCTGAGCACCGCTACCCCCTCCTTCTTGAGCTCGTCGCAACGCAGCAGGGCCTTCAAGTCGCGGGTGTCCTCCTGAGGGAAGTCCGCGTGCATGTAGTACGCGCGGGGCGGGCTCAACTCTTCCTCTATCATCTCGATGCAGACGCCGTAGGAGGTCGCGTAGCGCGCGCCACAATGGCAGCACCAGCGCTGGACGGACTCCCCCCCCGCCTCCTGCGCGCAGGTGAGCAGTTGCGTCCAGCGATCCGAACGGACCACCGAGCAGCATCCCTTGGGATTGTCCCAGGTCTTGTTGGCCGAGCACTTGTAGTACATGTTGAACGTAGAGCCCTTGCCACGGTAGAGCTGGTCCGTGTAGTCGCCCATCCGTCGGTGGGCCTCCTGCGCCATGGCGTTGCCCTGGCACTCCTCCTTCCACGCACGCTTGCGTCCCAGGTGCGCGTCCACGATCTCCGAGGCCTCCAGGAGGCCCTTCTCCAGCCCTGCCACATCAGCCTCTGCCTCCCCATCCAGCGCGTCGAGCCACTTCTGAGATCCGCCCTGCGCCGCCGCGCCCTTCATCACGTCCTCCTTCTTCTCCAGGATGGGCCCCATACCTCCCAGCATGTGGGCGCGCATGGTCTCGAATTTGAAGACACCGCAGGCCCGCGCCATACGCTTCAGCGATTTCTTGGAGAGGCCGAGCCGCAGCAGGGGCTCGACATTCGCGACCTCCTCCACAGTCTTGGCGTCGACCAGCTGGCGCCCCTGGCACTCGGCGTCGTTGTCGAGCGGGGGGTCGCTATCATCGCCGCGGGGAGGGCCTGCGGCGCCAGGTCCGTCCTCGAGGGGTGGAGGTGGCGCGCGGGGCGGCCCCGGCACAACCTCCACCGCCATCGGGCGACCGACCTCCTGCGCCACCGTCTCCGTGGCCGGAGGGGCGCCCACGCTCTCGGGA